AAAAACACTGACTGACGGACCCACACAACCACAGACGCACACAACCACAGACACAATCTCTCTCTCACACACACACACACACACACACACTCCAAAGAAATAATATATTTTTTAAATCCACCCAGTCTCGCCTTAAGATAACTGGAGTGGATCCTCAACCTGTGTCATGATGGAGCTCCATCCATATGTGAATCCACTTGTATAGCTCCCTTTCACAAACTGTAGAGGCTCCAGGAGCCAGAATTCTACATCACTTCAGACCACGCACTTCTACAGGACGCGCGAGGGAGCTGTAAACAATCCACATATGGAAGGAGCTCCCTTGCGGCCATAGCCCTAGCCCACCCCACCTCAAGCTGACACTCAGCATTGGCAGTATATTTTCGATGGCTGCTCTGCGTTTTTTTCATCTAGAAAAGTGGAAGGCATGTTGCGACCCACTGAACACAGGGTCGCAAACCCACTTTTGGGTCAACACTCTTTCCTCCATGCTGGGACAAAGAGCAGCGCCCAGCGGTGAGGATAGAAATCACGGCTGCGCCGACAAAACGGCAGGAAAATGGCACTTTCGGCATTTTGCCAAAAGTGCAATTTTTGGTCGGCGCCCCCTTTCTGTTACACCACTGGTCACTACCTACCAGTTGAGAACCAAGGCCTTATGGAATAAGGGCCATAATAGGTCCCACACAATCTTTCTATTGCTTCCCACATAAGATGGGCATCCAGGGGGCTCCAGCTGGCTATCTTTCCCTTCATACACATGGAAATCGTATGTGTAGTCTGTTCCTCTTTCACAAATTTGTAGAACTTCACCAAATACCTGGCACGTTTACTGGGAGATACTGTTTAACAACAAGCCTGCCTGAAAAAAAGTATGAGACAATGATGAATGCAGATATTTTGCTTGGGGGGTATATATTTCAGAAAATTTTGTGGAAAAAAAAAGTGGCCTAAATTTTTGGAACCTATCATATGTGAGGTTACTTCTGGGAGACCAAATCGAATTGCCGCTGAAATGCAGAAATCTTAGTATAATTTTTATATCTTGTCCTTAACTTGGCTTGCCACTTCACTTGCCTGCTGCATTTCAGCTTGATGTTCAATGAATGGCACAGCATGCCTGGGACAACTACATCTTCTGAATCAGAGGTGGTTATTGAATCAGAATCTGACAGTGAGGTTTCTTCATTGCTGTCATCAGTCATACTGAGAATTTTAAATGCCTCCTCACTAGTGTAGATTTTTTTTTTACATTTTTAATAATGGCTGTACTTTTCTTGTACTTGCAAAGCTGGTTCTTGCTGGCACTGGATGATGCTGGTACATCTGCTGGCTGGTGAGCAGGACACTGGTTGTTGGTGATTGTAAAATTGTGCTTGTACCTCTGGTAATCCGGATACTGGATGTGGCTGTAACTAGAGGTGCACCGAAATGGAAATTTTAAAACCGAAACGAAACCGAAATAAAAAAAATGTCAGGCCGAAATCCTCAATTATGTACAAACACTTAGCGATACACACTGTCACAGGAGGCTGATCAAGCGGTGTAGAGAGGAAAGCCCAGCCTCCTGTGACAGCGCTGTTTCCGCCCACACACCGCTCTGCCGGACTGTGATAGGCGGCAGAGCGGTGTGGGAGGAGACGCGGGCCGCTCACAGCGCTCTCCACCGCAGCGCTCGGCCAGCTGTCACTTTCTCTTCTCCCCGCTGGGACATAGAGCAGCGACCAGCGGGGAGGAAAGAAATCACGGATGCGCCAATGTATCGGCAGGAAAATGGCACTTTCGGCATTATGCCAAAAGTGCCATTTTTGGCCGATATGTTTTGGCGGCCGATATATCGGTGCATCCCTAGCTGTAACGGTACTTGCCGGAAACCTTACCGGTACTGCTGGCAATAAGTAAACAGTTTGGGGCTGTAATGGTACCTACTGACATCGTACTGGTACTGATTGGGGCTGGCACTTAAACTGTGTGGTACTTATACTGGCACTGCCAGCAATCAAGGCGCAGATTGTGGCTGGCACTGTGCTAATCGCACACATATTTGGGCTGGCACTACTAGCGATCAGGACTCTGATCGGGGCTGGCACTGCTGGCAATCAAGACTCTCTGACCAGGGCTGGCACTGGTGGTAGTCGAGACTCTTAATTGGACTGGCATGCTGACAATTGAGACTGAACGAACTGGCAGGCCGGCAATCAAGACTCTGGGGATGACTGCTGGCAATCAAGACTCTGATTATACTGGCAGTCTGGGTTTGTGGCAAGAGTTTTGCTGGAACAAGGGCTCTGTCACAGTTTGCTCTGTCACTGTACTAAAACTCTCCCTCTCTTCTCACAAACGAACAGTGTGAGAGGAGATGGAGGGGAAGCTGCAAACTGCAGCTATTGTTTGCATGTATTTATCGCTGTGAATGGTCATAGCGATCACATGATATTTTCTTTATTTGTGCCCATAGACCAAAGCAAGCAGGTAACCCTTGTAATGCGGAAGAAACCGCACTGCAAGGGTTAGTTTTTTAAAACCCTGGAGTTTCTCTTCAAAGACTGAGTGGGGCCCTGCTATAAGTTTTAACTTTATTTGTTGAGGTTATTTATGCAACTTAAGATTTTCTTAGACCTTTTACATTTAATAAAGATCTTTGTTATATGGTTTTTTTTTTCAACCCATGGTAGGATTACTGATGAAACAAACCATTTGTTGAAGGTCAGATACCCTTATAATGAGATATGTACAATGTTTTTCCTCCCAGTTTTTGTCTTGATTATCCATTTGGAGATGGAGTGAAAATAGTTGTTGTTCAGTGGTGATTTGCTAGATTTTTCCAGGTGGGAGATCCTTTGTAATAAGTTGGTAATTTTAAGGAGATCAAATCTGTTCTTAATAGCACATATATTTTGTTTTGCCTGTTGGCAGTGGCATAGCGCCCGGGGGGAGGGGAGGCTGTTGGTCGGTGGGACGATGGTATGGTACTATGTGTGTTGTGTGCTATGTGATGTATGTGTGTTGTATATGTGCTGTGTGTATGTGCAATGAGTGAAGTTAGTGACGTAACAGCCGGGGTGGGGGTGGAAGATGGTGGAGCTGCACCAGGCACAAAGATATGTGCGCAGCAGAGGAAAATGGCGGTAAGCCGAGCTTTGCGTGCAGTGTGTCCAGCAATATCCTCTCCCATGCTCAACTAGGCGAGAGCTGAGCTTGGTGAGGAGAAAAAATTTAATTTCTAACCAATCGGCTCACATGTATGAATCTGCGCGTTAGGACGTGGATTCAAACGTGCAGCCTATTGGATTCCCCCAGACAAAACCCTCTGGTGAGAGGAGTCCAGGAGAGAAGTACACTTGGTAATGTTTTCTTTCATGCATAACTTCTTTCTGTGACATGTCAGGGATGAGAGCTATGCAGAAAGAATGAATATGATATTTCCATTAAATAATCAAAATGTTATTAATGAAATCACTAATATGAAATATTAGTTAATTCATTATTAACTAACTAGAGACATAATATTTCATAATTAAAAATTTTAACATTTTTAATCCGATTAATTAAAAAAATAATAGGCTAACTAATCGATTATGAAAATAATCATTAGTTGCAGCCCTGCTCACTATGACACAAGCTGCAGGCAGGGCTGGATTCCCCACAAGTCCACCAAGGCCATGGTCTCTGGGTGGCAGGGAGTAGAGGGGCGCCACAGCCTGTAGCTTCTCCTCGAATCCCAGCTGCTCTCCACTGCATGTATGGGCAGAGGCAGTGGGGATCTAAGGAGAAATGGATTGCTGAAGCCGAAGGGAGGAGGAGGGAGCGCTGTCATCAGGATGAACTAGCAGGGAGAATATTGCAGAGCCGCCAGCTGTGAAATCCAGGATGACTGAGCGGCTCTTGTCACTTTCAGGATGGCCAAGCGGATGATCGGTAAATATATGCAATATTTACAGATCCTCTGTGTGCAGCACAAACACTGGAGTGATTGCTGATCACTCCAATGTTTGTAGACAACTGGGGACACGTAGTACTAATAATGGGTAAAAGCAGCTCAGTACAGGGGCTTCTATCCATTCATAACTGGTTGATAGTAAATATTTGCTATCTCCAGTTTGTGAATGAATGGGAAGCCTCTATACTGAGTGCTTTCCATTAATTCATAACAGGGGCTGCAGAAAAAGAGATTGAGGTTGCTGTGTCCTCAATCTCTTTTTCTATTTTAAAGGGTTCCAAAAAAAAACTACACCACATTCCATTCTCAAGGTCATGATTTACAGAGAACATACAAGATGAAGTACATGAACGAAACGCGTTGGATATTTGTGGATTTTTGCAATACAACATGTGAAAAGAATATTAAATATTTGAATGGGATTTTGCATATGGTTTTAAATATTATGTAGAATATGTTTAATATGAAATGAGACTGGAATTGAGGAATTAATTAATCTTGTATGTTCTCTGTAAATCATGACCTTTAGAATGAAATTGAGGAATCTAGTAATCATGTATGTATTTTATGCTTGAATCATGGTATTTTTAGGATATTTAATAAATTGATATGTATTTACACACCAGTCTGGCACCTCGTTCAAAACCCCTACACTACTAGGATTGTAGTTCTTTTTTGGGGAACATTGTGAATTAACAGATTCACTCAGACCACTTGGGTTACATGGTTCTGGGTAGTAATATTTGTTCATTCTATTTTAAAGGGAAATGTCAGGAGCACTGTAAATCTTTCTCACACAGGTCACCTGCATCTCACTGGGCCTCGGCCCGCCTCCTTCTCCATCCGGTAGCTCTCTAATTAGGCAGCTGCTCGTGGGGCCTCGCGGCTGCCTAATTTGCCTGATTAGACAGCCGAGGCATTTTTTGCCGCCTAAAGCAAATGCCTTGTTTGCCTTGCAGTGGATATGCCCCTGCATATAAGAGGAGTGGGCAAGCCTACAAAACAGAGTTTTGTATTCTTTTAATACATTTTGTGAAGTTTTTTTTTCTTCTGTTTTTAGGGGGTTGAAACTGTAAAGAAAGAAATTGATGAAAGTGTTTTAGTCCAAACGGGCTCCTATCGTCCGCCTTCTAGATTGAGAAAGAGGAGTGAATTTTCTGGAGAAAAATCAAAAGAAGAAAAGATTTTTGAAGCAAATGCGTATGTATTGATATTCATGCATGCATTATGTGAAAATTTGTATCTCTTCAAAAAAATAGTGAGGCCTCTTTCATGGCTAGGCAGTATGCAGATTGTCGGTGGTTTGAACAGGAAATTTAATATAAAGTGATATTTATCACTTTTATCATGCCAGCCTTATATGTGATTCAAATTTTTATCAAACACAAACTGTGTAAAATAAAAGCCTGTTAATCCTGATTGCTAACAATTTACGCAGATCATCAAATATATATATATACACACACACACACATTTAGTGTGTGTATAGTCAAAACAAAAAACAAAGCCTTTGTTTACCATACCCCGGCCCCCCCAGAAGGGAGATGCGAGGCTGGCCTGTAGTGTGCTTTATTCTGAACACTGCATTCAGCACCCTCTTTGGCACATAGTGCAGCATGAGTGGCTAGCTGGAGGGTGCTTTTACAGGTCCAGGACCTTAATCCTTTGGGAACCCTGACCGCGAAGATCCCCTTCCACGGGTGTGCTTACCCAGGGGGTGAAGACTGGATCGCATGTCCTGATGGTGACCACCGTGCATCCTGGTAAGAACCAGAAAAATCCCTCCAGGTGACATCCTTAGCCCCCTTACAGGGGTTACGCCGAGCTTTGATGCAGAGTTGCATTTTAATAGCGTTGTTTCTAAAAAAAAATAAAATTGGTGCCCTTTTCTCTCCATTCCGGCCTACTGCTGTGCCTTTGTGGTGTCTGCAGATTGCACGGTGAATGTGCCCACTGTTGTCTTCAGGCACAGAGCTGTGTTACTTGCCCCTCCTGGGAGCCATGCCACTGGTCTGCACACCACCTTGGCTGCTGTTGCCACTTAACACGGATGCTGGAAACCACGATGCACATCCCTGCCACCTGCTGTTGTTGAGTCACTGGGTCACCAGCTGAGGCCTCTTAAATGTTTTTGGGTTATAGGCACCCTCTCACTACTGCTGTGGGTACTGGAGGTACAGCATGCTGGAGCATTGCTGATGCAGGGGATACTTGTGCTACAGCCAATTTACGGCTTGGGGGTTCTACTCCCTCTAGAGACAGCTTCTCTGTAGATCCTTTGTTGGGCTCCTCTTCTCCACTGCTACCTTTAGGGTCCTCCTTAGCCCCATCTGAGTTATCCTGCACTAACCTGTTATCCAGAAAGCAATTTTACCACTGTTATGGTTTTTATGTTGAAAATTATGTTGAAATTGATGTTTCTAGCAACAGGGGCTGCAAGCAGGCCCCTTCTTCTGCTCCCTCATAGATCCTCTGTGATTCCCCTCTAGCTACGTTGTACCTGTCTAAAATTTCCACTAGGTTAAAGCACATGATGTCTATCTGGGGTGTGGTCTGCTTTTGTTTGCAGTTAGAACTGCCTGCCTCGGCCCTCCAGAGAGACCATAAGTTTGGGATCCCTAAAATGACAATATAGCAAGAATATATGGCAAGAATAGGGGTCTTTCCTCTACGGTGATTTCCACGATGTTGCAAGCTCGTAAGTCCAGTTTTTGGTCGATATACTATCGTACATGGAGGGCTTACTTTGCGTGTTAGTCCAATGCTTTTCACCTAAGGCAATTTCAGAGTCTTACCTTTCCTGCAGTAGTGTGAGCGCCTTCTCGACTTTGTGGGTATGCTATGTTTTGTTATAGGGATGCACCGCTACCATTTTTTTAAGACCGATACTTCTTTTTCTTAAAAGGACAGGTGACATTTTGTCTAAAACAATACAAACTAATGATTTTAGGGCAGTTTCTTAATAATATGAAGAACTGTAACTTAAAAGACACGACTGTGGAAAAATAAAACAGTTTACTTTGCTTAAGTTGTCACAAAGCTGTACCAACTCAAAGAAAATTCCCAGAACATGTTAATAAAATAAATATTAACATAAAATTATATTAATAATAATAAGACAATGCACAAATCCACAAAATACACACCATGTCACCTCTATTTCAATATTACACAGTTGTGTATGTGGTGGACCACTTATGCATAGAAGCCTGCACTGCATTCACAGTTGTATTTATGGTCTTTCTGTCAGATTGTTTATAATGCTCTGATAAACAGTTTTCTATTTATGGAAACAAGCAAGGATCTGTAATTAAGGAGATTCCCAACTTATTTCCACAAATCAAATCAAAATTAATTATTATTAATTATTTACGCTAACTTGAAGACAAGATGAATACAATAGTGTACAATATATATATATTTATTAATTAAGAAAATCAGTGCAGAATAATAATAAAAATATAATTGCTGACAAACAAAGAATAAGGATCAAATAATTTCAATCAATTTGATAACACAGGTAATGTGTAAAATATAACAGGATATTATTTCAAAATATAAATGTAACCAATAAAATAACTTTTTTAATGCAATGGGTAGCTTCTCAGTAGCTCATAGAATAAGGAAACAAAAGGTTCAGAATTGACACGTGACTTCTCCCAGCAAACAGATGTTCACGAGCTCAAATTTTTAACAGCGCATGGGCAAAATTTTGTCACTATACACAGGGTTGGCTATAAGCCAATACTATTTTCAAAGTAAAGACAAATTTCCACCAATTTAATTAGGTATACATCAGACCTGACCATTGAATAGAAGCTAAAATCAGCTCCCTGGAGATTATACAAATGTATTAATTTATCTCCCAAGATTGAAAGATATAATTTGTACTGCAGTTAAAATGATCTCAAATCAATCTATATCCTACAAGAACTAGATGGTCTATTCGGATATAGATGTGGCTAATCAATTGCCTACAGAAATATATGAATTTATACTTTACTAGAAATGTAAAATTAGTTGTCTGAAAGAAGGCAGCTGTCACAGTTCAGAAACAAGGGATGGTCAGGTTCTCTTTTAGTTAAGTTCCCTTGGACAGCCGTCCTCAGCTTCCAACATATACCCTTAGTATGTATTTCCTTACTGCCTTTTTCTTTGCCTGATCCCCTTTGCTGGCCCTTTTGCTGGCTCCTGCTTGAACTTTTATCCCCCGGGGAATGTGGTTTGGTCTTCCACGGGATTAATGACGTCAGATTACATCATTTTCAGGGCTTGAAGAATCCACTCGCCCACTCGTCTGTGATGAGAGGACGTTGGAGCCCGACGAGCAGCTTCCCGGCCGACCGTCGGAACGCGCTGAGAAACGCCCTACGCCCAAAGATGTACAGGAGCTTCTTTGGGGCTTATTTCCACGCGTATCCATTAGGATACAGCCGGATTGTCCTCGTAAACGTGCGTTTGATGCGCGTTTCGTGGACCGCAAATCGGGGTAAAAATGCGCGGCCCGAAACGCGCGTCATACGCGCATATTTGGATCACCTAGGTGGGAATCCAGCCTAAAGGAGAACTATGAGGTAAGTGCTTTTCACTCACCTCATAGTTCTAGGCGACCTGTGACAATGAGACTGTCACAGGTCGGCTCAGTAGATCGGGAAGTGAGCGAAAACCTAACGACGTTCGCTCACTTCTCGATCCTGTCACGGCACAGAGCAGCGACAGGGGGTGGACTGGATTCTCCCCGCTCCGATCCTCCAGCGCTGACTGGCGGATCGGACGGGGAGGGGGCGTATACAAACCCCCCCGTGGTGATTATATACCTCCAAAAGAAAGCTTTATCTGTCCCCAACATTTAACATAAATTGCAAGGCTATAGTCCGGTCAGGGTAACTTCAAGAAAGCCTAAACCAAAACCATTAACATTCTTTCTCCAACTACTTTTAAAGTGAAGTAATTAGTTTCAAGACACAGTGGTTCTTCACACATTAAAGAAAAAGAAATATACATTGGTGTATACCACCTAATTCTATGTATTGTAACAAGGACACTCCACTGTAGTCCAGGTAAGTCAAGTAAAACGCAGTTTATTAAAAGGGCAAACACAAATATATAATTCCATCCACAGGGTAGACCTCCCCTGTGCACAAGATGGTTTCTAGCCGCAACATAAAGACGGTCTTTTAGCTTCGCTCTGTAGCTTTCCACAGCTCCGAGACACTCACGCTGCTCACCCCTCGTGAGCCCTCAATCTGCTCTCTTAGCAGTGTGTACAACAGGTTCTAGGGTCACCGACCTTCCTGACCTCTCCCAGCCTCCCCCGGCTGTTCCTTGTGCGTCCAGCACGCACCCGAGTCTGCGTGAGTCCGTGTGCCTCCTGCACACACACAACTCCAACTCTCCTCTCTGAACTCTGGTCCTGACTCCTAATAAGGCTGCTCTCAGCCATCTGATCCAGCTATACTGGTCATTGGTAACACCTGGCCCCAGGACTGGAGATCTCATCCCACCCAGAGCTCTAAGAGATCTCCAGAGCTCCAGATCCCAGCTACATTTAGGAAAACCTGGAAGGACCTGAAAAGCCAGGATCTTCCTTAAAACATTGTTTATATTCGGGACCCTCTCAGCCCCTTTGGCAGAGAGTCCTGGGTGCCATACTCGCCATAATACACCGTGGCATTGGCGTACCCTACCACGTATTTACAACACTAACCCACCATATCAATAACAATAATACAAATATATTTCAATGGGTACATCCCAACACTGTATAATGAATATCGTTTAGATATTATAAAAGTACATGTATAAAATTTTACTTGAAATTATTCAACCAAATAGGCATATATATGCTGCATATGATATGATAATACAATACAATTATTGCTAATATTATCACTGCAATAATGTTTCATCAGGCAACTTTTAAATAAGACCCTTTTTCTATTCATTGAGAGAGAGGGAAAAAAAAAACTTAAACATTCCAATCTCTTGTACATTGTCTTCAGTAGAGGCATGAAGGTCATCAATCTCATTATAACACAGGCTGGCATGTGTCCTTATCTTTATGGTACTTGTCTGAGACCCCCACAATTTACGGCCTGAGAACGTTTATGCTAAGATTCTTAAACTTGTCTGTGCGAGTCTTTGTCTAAGAAGAATGAACTGGCATTCACCTTTTAGCAAGCAGACAAAATGGCTACCAC